CAATTGTAATCGGGTTTCCATAAAACTAACGGAAGCCTGACAAGATACTTATCGGTCGTCAATACATGCAGACACCTGTGCACCACTTCAAAGCGGGTTAGAAATCGGACGGAAACTAATGTGCCTACGAGACTGCATGCCACTACACCGCCAGAGAAAGAGGAAACGCACTCATTCAAAATAGTAAATGCTAACATGCAGATATTGATGAAGATAATATGTTGTGGCTTGACTGAGTCAAAAACAATCTCCAGCAATGACAAACTATTGGACCGCGGAAAACAAGGAAAATCACTGTACCAATCAATGGGAATCCAAGTCAAACAGGTACCTTTGCTCACATTTGTTGCTGCCCAAACTCATTTTATAATATGGAACCACATGTAACCCTTGTGCTATGTAAGTTGAGTGACGAAACAGGAATCGCACTCTTGTCGAATCACCGCCTTCGTGATTCATCGTATAACGTCAGTAACAACCGATGTGCACTTATTTTAATACCTAACTTTGAACTGCCATTTATATTAACTGCCCTCGATAACTCATCCAGACCACCCGACAGAACTTGTAGTGTTTCTCAACATCTCTCAAAACGTTCCTCCTTGCATATTCCCTGACATCAATTGGAATGCGCTTTGGCACACAAAGCCTTGCCTAGGAAAATATAGCAGACAAAACGAAGGAAAATCATTTATTGTTTGAGGTCTTTGTAAACTCTAACATTCCAACGAGTCATAGGACCAAGCTCATGACTAGGAAGAATGGTGCAACATCCCAGAAGTCCTCTCTCTCTCGATAACGTGATTGCTAAGTTAACGTCACGTTTACACAAATCACCCAACTGTAATTGCTGTGGATAAGAATTGTTGATTGTCCTGCACCACACCATGCAAGTTGTCAAAAGAGTGCTCGGAATTTCGCACAAATTACACACCAAAATATCACCAAAAATTCGTTTGAAGGTGGTCGAAACCAGGCCAAAATTGGTTGTAGAAAGACAAAACCAGTGCGATTTACTCGCCTACTCAGCTGCCTGCATTTTCAAACAGGTGGGCAGGGAAACATTATGCCGCCCGGAAAGAAAACACATACAATCTAGCACAAATATCTTCTGAAGAATTAAGCAGCGGGTGCACGCAGCAATAGACCGAAGCGGCATTCTAGCGGTAGGCAAGAAATTCATCAAAAAAGCTATTGTCAGCCTGCCCCATAAGTGTGAACGTAAAATTACATATGGCATCCGAACATCTTCATTGCTTGTATGAAAGACACATGAGCTTCTTAGCAATGTAGTCGACCACTGAACTCGTCATGTTTCAAGATCTTGAGTCCTCCTCATGGCAACCGGACATGGCTGAGTCATGGGATTACCGACTTCAAGATGAAAACACTTGATGTGTCACCCTTGCACAGGGACCGACCCAGCAATGGATGCAGTGAAACATTTACTTTCGTTTCGATCTTCATATTGACCGCCATTAAGATCCATGTCTTCAGGCTATAGATCCGTCATGTTGCCGCCTACACCTGGGTTTAGCAAATGTATGCCCATTGGCAGGTGTATAACACCAAAATATATGCAATACAAATATAAACATGGTTCTGAATAACCGCTGCAAAACCATGGCTTGGAAGGAGAAATATGACTATTAGAGAGGTAAAGGAGCTGAATATGGGAATTGAGCGAGAATTGATCGGTCAGTCACATATCTGCTCGCTTCCAAGGAATCGAACCATTCCGTTTATATGATGAAACCGTGGAGCGGAACTCACTCACACCGGCTGAAAACCGGAGGCAGAATAGTGAGCGACATTGACTGCCTTAATTGATGTGTTTCGGTTTCCAATAATTAGAATTCAACTTTCCTTTGTATATATACCCTCTTCTACCGGGTTCTGGTCTTTTGATTTACTTCAATTTGTTGGGCGCGTAACTGAGCATTCAGACAGTCTCAGTCTCACAGGACAGCAAAGCAGCAGTACAGCAGTTGGCAGTGGCAGGGTGCAGAGGAAAAACAGAAACATTACAACATTGGCAGCGGTGTCAAACGAACCCAAAGGTGTCAGCCAGTTTTGACCAATTGCAGACTCGGTTGCAGCAACAGCAGGAGTAGTTTGAAAAAGCACAGGCCCAGTTAATCTAAACGCTAGCTACAAATTTGTCACCACAAGCAGTCTCGGTAACAGGAGCAAGTCTAAGTGGCATTGCAACAGAAAACTTGACCAAGCAATTTTGTGAGTTCCGGTACGATGCCGCTGCCAGTATTACTTTTGCATCGTGGTTTCATAATACAAATACTTTTCCCGTTGATTTTGCTGGTGTCTCAGAGGACAATAGAGTTCGCCTCGTACTGCGGAAACTGGGTGTGGCTGAGCACGTAAAGTTTATGAATTTCATCTTACCGCGGAAGAGCTCTGATTAAAGAGTTCATGAAGTGGTTGCTACTTTGTCGCAGATATTTGGAGAGCGGTCGTCACTATTCAACTTCCAAGACAGGTGCCTAACAATGACAAAGTGAGACGACGAAAGCTGAGTTACTTACTCGAGTCGCGTGAGTCTTGGGTCGCTGTTTCACAACATGACTGGTGATCAGAACAAGTGCCTTATTTTTGTGTGTGCCCTTCAAGCAACCAGAGATGCGGATGCCCGAAAAAGAGTATTGAGCAGAATTGAACAAAATCCAGAGATCACACTGCAGGAACTGACGAACGAGTGCCAAAGCTTTATGAATTGGATCATGATGCTGTGATGATCCAACAGTCATCCATCTAGACTAGCCAGGATATCATTTGCAGGACCAGTCGAAATCCTTAGAAAGACTTGGTTCATGTGAGTTCAGCACACTCCAAACCCCCTTCTGTGTGTTGATTTTGCAGGGAATGGTACTTTGCTTGAAACTGCCCGTTCCGGCATCACGTTTGCAATCGCTGTTGTAAGCGAAGACACAAAGCGTTGTGTTGTCTTGCGAAGCGGCCAACTGTGAGCGGAAAACGGCGTCGAATCTGAGTGAGTTTCCGATGTTACGATGAGACAAAAACTGAAACGGTGGCTTCTAGTTTGATGGCGTCAGCAAACGTACTTTTACAAGGTTGAAGACTAATGAAAAAGAAGTCAGACTGCAGTTGTATATTGCCTGAAACATCACCCTGATTTGTCGAGACACATAGTGTATGCTGGGACGATCCGGGGGTACCTTGAAATTACTCGGAGAGTTGCAATGTCAGGTTAGTTTCCGCGACAGCAACTTTGTGCAGCCTGTTTTGTGACACAGCGACCAAGATTTAATTTTCTGGGTCTCAATTAGATGAAGGAATTGGACGTACTTGGCCAGTCAGTTAAAGGTATATGCCCGAAATTAAAGCTCGAGAAACCAGCAGACAAAAATGAGCTTCGAAATATACGGTCAAATTGTAAGACTGAAGCCACGCCACGAAAGTTTGTTTCAACTCGGTCATGGATGCTGCCGGATAGCCAGAGTTGAGCTGAACATAAACCAGATGTCAGACTAGTTTTTAGACCAAAACCTCCAGTGCCGTACGCAACACAACCAATAGTGTAGCCTGAGTTAAATCCTCTGCAGTCGGTAGGCATAATCGAGCGCATACATTACTCAGAATGGGTGGAACCCATCGTTGTGTTGAAGCAAAGAAACGGCAATGTAGGTACTTGTGCCGAGGTTTTAATTGCCTTAAATTCCATGTCGGAGAATCACCAGTATCCTTTGCCTTTATCTGAAGCTTTGTTCACCCAGCTTAACGGTGGTAACTGGCTTGCGAATCTCGATCTAGCTGAATAGAACATATAACTTGAGTCAGTAAATATCAGCAGGATGCTGCAGCGGCTACATGCATTCAGTAGAACAATGAACAGTGATTTACCACCGGTAAAAAAGCATGTGCTTAACAAGTCCCGTAAGGTGGTTGGAGTAAAAAGTAAAATTTGTAGGACCATCGAATAAGTAAATCATCATTTCAAGAGTCCACCGAGTTAAATAAACTACTGCGTAACGATAGTCTGAAGTGGGAATGGGAGGTGCACGAGCAAAATATTATAGAGAGCTGTTGTAATTCAGTAAGTGCGTGAGAAATAAAAAAGGAGAAGAAAATGCTCACATTATTATTTCTTCATTTGACAGATGTAGTATGTTAATCCGGTTTAGCTACATCCAGGCTAATCACATGGACACTACTGAATGTATCCTCACGGCCACGTTGCCAACATGGCCATTAAGCACATTGTAGGTTTACGTTGTTTCGTCCTCCAAGTGGAACCGAATATATCGGAAACAAAAATCAACTCATATAGTTGACAATCAACTGTGAGGAACAAATGTCGGCCATACACCGTCGCTGATGGGATGGTGCAGACTAGGTATGCGGCCAACATAGCCTATCAGGCTTTTGTGAGAAAACCCGCAAGTGCGTGGCTCTTTCGGCAAACATGATTTGCTAGTACTTATGAGTAGAAGGATTTTAGCGAGTATTTTAGTTCGTCGCAGTCAGCTGACAAGTCGGATAAGTCAACTACCTATCCGGAAAAGCACCAGAGACGGCCGTTTCGCCCTATTAGGGCTGGTCAGTGGTGCGCATCCTTCGATCCTCTAGTGAGGATCGAACACATGACTGCTAGTGGTGTGTGCCAACTAGCCCGCTGTTTATGCAACTGAGCCATGGCTCCGTTTCATAAGCAGCGGGCTAGTTGGCACAAACCACTAGCAGTCATGTGTTCGATCCTCACTAGAGGACCGAAGGATGCGCACCACTGACGAGCCCCAATAGGGCGAAACGGCCGTCTCTGGTGCTTTTCCGGATAGGTATGATTTGCTAGTGTTACTTAGTAGCAATCATTGTGCACGCAAGACGGTTAACATGAATATACGTTGATTGGTCTGCCAAGGTAATATTCCTTGTGCTACGTTTGTTTGCGATCAATCGACGTGACAATACCATTTACTGTGACCGTTAAATTGCAGTAGCTCAAATGTAATCCGAAAGATAAACGAGAAGCCTCTGTTCTGTGCTGGGAGTACTGCCTATCTTTTGAATGGCTTGCAAGAGCAAAGGCACCGACGAGGTGAAAGGATGGTATCACAGAACCTGCACTGCACCGGGTCGGTTGGATAGCAAGTTAGCCGTGGTGACCGGAGCCAGTACGGGAATCGGGGAGGCGACGGCTGCCGAATTGGCCCGACGGGATGCAAGGTGATTATGGCGTGTCGTGACCTGAAACGGGCGCAAGCTGCGGTTGATCGTATATTGGATAAATATGGACCATCGAAACCAGACAATGTCAAGTTAGACGTTGCGGACTCGTCGGTTATTCAATACTTGTCCGTTGTGCAACCTGAACAGGTAGGCTACATACTATCTACTCTGTGGTTCAACATCGTCTATATTGTAACGGTAGAGGTGTTGGTCAAAACTCTTCCGTTATCAAATGCAGAAAGAAATCTTTGAAATCACTTTTTACTTAAAATGTCCGGCTCAACAACTGCCTGGGGTTTTTAGTGGAATGCAAGCGAAATTTTACTTATCTCCTAACTCTTCGATTTGCAGAAGTTAGTTTTCATTTGTGAAAGTAGTCCAGTCTTTGTATCAGGTCGCTCCACGCGAGGGTTGATAGTGGCATTATATCGCAATCAAAAAGTTAGTTATATTAGAATAAACCTAAGTGATTCTTTAATATGATAGTTTTCAAAGAGTAAAAAATGAAAATTGAAGTGAAGGGAAATGTGTTTTGATCACCTGTGCATCACTTGGTCATGTGTCTTGCTCTGCGAATAAAGGGCAACTGCACAGCTCATCCACGGATTCCATAACCATGCTAAGCGGTAGTACGGATGAGGAAGGTTAGGTAGTTGGTTCTGAAAACGAGTCATTCCGCCCTAGGTACGCCAAGATTTTGGTCGAAATTCATAAAAGATATTGCGGATTAACTATTTCTTCAAAATTCCATTGGCAATATTGAATTCCGGGTTTTTGAGCACCCAGCGTATGTCTTGGATTGAGACAAGTAATTTCAGTTGTGGCCTCGGTTGACTTTGAAATCAGCCTCTGAAAATGCGGTCAGCGGGACCGTCACCGAAACGCGCCACTAGTGGCGTACCTTATTGCTCCCGATATATTTCTCCAAAGGTTGCTAAGTGACCAGTTCGCTTGAAAATTACCGTCCATAATCTAACTGCTTGTCCGAGTGCTAACCGTTGTAAACGTTTGTGATAAACTGTTCTATCCATGTATTACGATCAAATAGCACTGTGTATCTAGTGAAATGCTGTGCCAGTATCTAATGCCTTGTCTCTTCCCATTAAAAAGGTTCGCTGGAAGTTTCACTGAGTATTGCTAGTTGGCTATTTTATCTTCCTGCAGATAAAGTGTTAATACTGTGGATACTTGATACCACAACTGACAAGCTTGCATGCTGCACACGCAGGCAAATGCTCCAGAAGGTTATGTTGTCTTGTTACTTTCAAGAAGTGACTTCTACCGTTGGTATTACTACTGAGTTGCAGTAAAGATAGATACGTATTATTTTGCTTGTGTAAACAATGTATGGTATTATCATGTCGCATCTTAGCTAGTGGTATTGCCGACTACGAAGCGACTTGATAAAGGCTTACTTGATTTTACACAATCCAAATCATTTGTGCCGCTCTTTACTTCAACTCAACTATAACTCGAACCTGAGAGGTCACTCCTTGAAAGTAGAAAAACAGTAAAGCCGTCTGGAATGCCGTAGTTCTTTTCTATTCGCATGTGTCAACTATGGAATGCTCTTCCCGAATCGGTTGTTTCTTTACCTACGCCAGCCATATTTAAAGTCGGTTGGATGAGGCACTTTGCCACTTACATTTTGTTCCATGCGAATGCTCTTCAACTTACTGCCGAGAAAAAGTTTGGATTCATTATTTGCGCCTACTGAAGCCATGCATTACATATGATAAGACTATACTGTTGACGGTAAATTTATTAACTGCGTACTATTTCATTATTTATTGATAACCCACAAGACCATACTAAGGGGCTTGTGAAGCAATGCATCTGAACCCATATAAAATCAGTTTTCATTAATTGACTTCATCAGCAAACGCATTAAAACGGAGGTACTACAAGCACGAAGATAACATCGAATGAGCTGTTTGTGGGACATAATCGCTCATGCGATAGTGACCTTACTGAGCATGATATGTTTTATAAGTGGGAATTTCGAATAAGTTTTGAACATGAACCGGGTACAACAAGATGTCGCTGTATCTACTTACTCATCCATGTTGCTGAATAAACTACAAATTCTATAATAATACAATCCGTGTTATGAATCACAAAAACCTACTGGTTAAATTATCTAAAGATGGCTTACCATTAATTTTCGTTTGTTTTGTACTCTACAAAGAAAGTGACGTTATTATATTTAATTCTCAAATAACCGTTGCAGTCGAAGTATTCGCAAAAGTATTTCACTCCAAATGTGAAATGGCAAGAACAAAACGAACTTCCCATCACTTACGTTGATTGTCTCAGAATACGATTCCTCGTTGACATAGTACTACTGCCTAGCCATTTTGTCTAGTTTAAAGCCGCGTATACTGATGAACGATAACTGAAAACAATAGTGGTCGCTTTACCTTTTAATGGCCACGGTCCAATTATTTGTCACATGGAACTTTTTGCACAGTGATGTACTTGCGTCTTGCATCATTGTTAATTTGGTTCTTAACCCTTTTAATTAAGAGGAATAACTTAAGCAGAACTTAGGTACGCCAGACAAGTCACATGTTAACCGCTGATATCGTGTGCGTCCTCGCCACTAATGTATGGGAAAATCTAGCCGCCTTTGTATGGTGGGCATATTTTGTCTAGAAGCATTGGAGCCCAGTTTGAGTTAACAATTTCATAATTCCATCCTTGACGTAAAGTTGGATTCTATGAGACTGATAAATTAATTTAGAATCCTAAGCGTATGTAGTAGGTAGTACCACAATGATAACTAAGGCTAAATATGCTGAGGACGCAATCGTAGTCTGTAAGCAGCCTCTGATGCCAAGCAGTGTGTGAGAGACTTTTTTCAGTCAAGCGTTCTGAGCAGGTTTACTGCATTAGATTGAAACTTCTCTACTGATATTCCTTATAATGAAACTGTTATAAGCCGGGAAATGGTAAAACTATGTTATTGTTAGTATCCTGCTTTGTTTATATAGTCAAAATTGGAAATAATTCAAAGTCGCACAATCGTACATTATCGAAATATTTGCGTGTTTGAGGCTGAGTCGGCCGTCAATCATGCAGGCCGAATGAAAAATAAAATGCAGTCACTCAATTATTCCATAAAGCTACAGCATAAGTACGAGACTTGATGATTGAAGACGATAAAATAGCATACGTACCATTGTTGGCAGCTGAAGAAAGTGGCCAAATACTTGGTTTTTTGAGGTCAAGTTAATGGCCACAATCAGGAAGTTTGGTAAAATATGTCATTACCAGCCAGAACCAAGTTTACTCGCAAGATATATACAAGATGCCCGGTTTAAGGACTATGACTCACAGAACAATCAACTTCGCTCTATTTACCTAGCCTTGTCACATGGAGGACAGTTGGGGACACTTTTCAGCAGATTGCTAGTATTACTGCTAACATTTGTATTTGTGTCACCCGCAAAATGTAGACAAACTACGAGCTGCGAAAGGACTGAAATGCTTCCTGTGACATAATGATCATCAAAATAATACGAGTAATAATAGGCAATGAACAGAAGAATTTTGGTTGCTCTTCCGACCAACATGCGTCACATGTATACCAGTTTGATAGCTGATGCACATCCAAAATATCGTGGGCGGTCTTTTCCTTCTAGTGGAATTGTGATCACTATGGGGCTAGATCCCATGAACCTGTACTAACAAGTCCGTTACTACCGTGGGGGGCAACGGGGGAGGAGGATACGCGCCATCTCAGCTGAATGCTTATTCAATCTAAGTTCCTCGATCCGATAGTCTCAACCACGCACCGGGTAAGGTAAGGTCACGTTAGCTGGAATGAGCGGTGCCGCACATTTCCGAAAGGATGAAACGGCTGTTCCGTGAATTGTCGAAATTGCAGTGGCTCTCTGAATGGGATAACTGTGAGAAATATTGTTCGAGACCTCGGGTTGATTCTTAACTCAGGGCCAGTGATTACGCCTAAACATCAGCAGGATGCGAATTAACTTTATCAATAGATCCCTTTGCTCGGTGACAGTTACGAAGTGTTTTCTGAAGGATGGAGTTTAGGAATACGTTTGGTATCTTAATTTGGGCAGTAACTGAAATTTCAACATATAAATATGAGTAAATTTAAATAAATCCATTGTCCGAAATACATATGGCTAAAATCTTACAGCATTTGATGCAATCAATACTAATTAAAACAGGGTGGTAAAAGTTGCAGAACACTTCTAGTGTACACCGCCGATATATTGTCCTGTTAAGAATATCTGATTAGAATACCTTAGTATACCTTAACAAACAAAACTTAAGAAGCTGCTATGAAAGATTTTAGCATAATGTTTACAAATGCTAGTGTTCACAAATGTGTTTCATCACTTTAAATAGGATTTTCAGTGGCTAATTTTCGGTTGCAGCCCACTGAATTGTCTACTTCTGCAAATAGAAAGCACTAGCTATAAAAATGCAGAAAAAGAATAGTGACAAGTTAGTCCGTCTTATCTTACTGATTAACATGGAACAATTGAAAGTGCAATTTGGCAAAAATAATTTGGCAAAATACATAAGATACAAACACCTGTCGCACTCTCAGGAGATGCAAAATACCTCTGTCTTCCATAAAGTTCATCGCCAATATCTGATTAATGCAAGGGAAAAGAAGAATTCGTGAACGGAATAGTCTTTCGCTTAAAGCATGAACGTTCAAAATGTTCTTCAATATTTGCTCTTGGCTTCAGCTTGTTTTGGAATTGCTGGATTTGGCATCACTTCAGTCAGTTCGCCAGTTCGCAAGCCGTATGCTGTCGAAGTACAATAAGCTAGATTTTCTAATCAACAATGCCGGAGTGGCCAAAAATTGATTACACCAGTTCCGTTGATGGATTCGAGATGACCATGGCAACGAACCATCTGGGTCTATTCTTACTCACTGAGCAACTGCTTCCGATGTTGAAGCGCGCAGCCCCGTCAAGAATAATCAATGTGTCTTCACTAGCACACAGTTTTAGCAAACAGTGGAAGCCGCAAATTTTCATACCTGCGAAAGAATACTCCATCGTAAAGGCCTACAGTTGGTCAAAGCTTGCAAACGTAATGCATGCAAGGGAGTTGAGCCGTCGACTTGAAGGCACTGGTGTTATCGCAGTCAGCCTACATCCGGGAGCTGTGAAAACTGAATTGACAAGAGACTGGCATGGATTCCTGGCAGTGAGTAAATCCAAATCCGTCAAAATTTTGTTAGGGATATATATGGCTCTTCAGTGTTCCGTCTTATTCAATATTATCAGTTAGTGCACTTGCGGTATCCAATGATTAAACAACACTGGCAGCAACTGTTTTTATAGTTGGGATATCGCGAAGAACAGTGAAAAGTTGGAGATACTAGTAATTCGCAATCATACTTGAAGTTGATAAATATCATTTCTCAGCCGAAGGTGGTTACGCCCGCGGCGATCAGTTTAATTGAATTGCTCGAATGATAGTAGGTCTAAACGACACGCATTTTGTAAATGAAAATCCAGCGACGATTATTCCGTAGCGAGTATTTTGTGAACCATTGAGCAATTTCTTTCACGTCAAGTTACAAGATACACACGTTAACGAGTAAGTACTCATATCCTGAATCAGCACATCGAATGGATAGGATTTGTTGAACAGAATGATGTAAGCTGGCAAATATTACGCTAATGTGTCCCTTTTGAAGACTCGTTTGCGCAATAGTAAGCGCTAATAATCTAACCTAAATTTCTCTTTAGAGTGAATGTGTACCATTTCCAAGGAATTAGATGTGTAAACCTCCATTGCATCCGGTTAGTTAAACAATTCCAACACTTACATTATCCATAGTAACCATTTGTGATCAACCTCAAAACGCTGCAAACGGCCATTTTAAATTATTTGTTTGCCAGACATCAAGTTCTTCTTAGTAGATCATAATAATACAGCGTAGCTGCTTCAGAGTTTCTACCAGTACTTCTACATAAAAGGAGAAATCACATCATTTAGCTTAGCTCCAGAGCAGCAAATTAGTTCATTCCGCATCACCCCCACTTAGTTTTATCTAGATGGATGAAACGGAAATAGTGAGATGTTTCATCCTTTGAAGAAGTGCCGATTACGGGATGCAGCTTACCCTGTCTATAGAATCCACTTCCTGCAAACTTTTGAAGTCTTCTCAATTTGAATATCATTGTACATGGTGCTTCAGCCGATTTATGGTTTTGGTGAGCGTAATCCAACCGAAAATTCTCCTGACGAAGTCAGTAGTGATACCATGGCCAAAAGTTTGATACTTGACCGCAGGTTGAATGTTGGGTATTGCAGTACCCGCCGTGCATCTTGAATTGCAATACGCAATCTTGATTGTGGCCTCTGTTGAATTTGAAGTCAAATTCTGTCATTTTAAAGAGTAAGACAGTATCTGAAGGGGAGGTTTTCAGTATTACTGTTTTCAATCAATGCTCCTTCAGATCAGGATTTCTTTACCTGATTAGTCCAAACAAGAACGAAACGCATCGTAGAGTTTAGGAAGTGCAAGGGCAACACTGAAAAGCATCAGACTGCCAGTTGTTTTGCAACACTGAAACAAGCTGCGAACAATCCAACAGGTTGAAGGCATTTTAGTGTTGCTCCGCAAACACTGCCACCTCACTACTGGTTTTGCCATCGTTCGTACTAAAAAGGGAATGGAACTCGGGGCAAACCTTTTGATCACTCTAGGGCCAAGGCAGGCACAGTCAAGTCATCCTAATTAATGCTACCCATTCGTTGGCGTTTACGCACGCCAGGCGGTTGTGGCATTGGGTGTTGGATGACAAGCCGACGGAACACATGTTGACGGAAATCGCCCCGTACATTGAAGAGTGCTAATATATAATAGGAGGTAACATTTGATTTTTAATATTCTACTGCAGTTATTGCAGTTATTAGGAAATGGGAAGCAAATTGTGCCAAGCGGAAGAGTTGGTAGATGACAATCCCCATTAGATGTGGACTTGTAATTTCTATTGCTACGTTATAAATTGAGTGGGATCAGATGGTTCAACTTACCTGGTCAGCACATATAAGTACGTCATTGTGATAGCAGTTGGCGTGCATAGATCTTTGCTATCTTCCTCGATCCGTTCTCTTGTGCTGCTCAGTTTGGCCAGTTAAGGCAGCGCACCAAGCATACGACAGTTGCCTTCTGTTCACGCAACTTTTGGCTCGAAGGATTTCCATCGCCTCAGCAATTAACCATTAGGAGTTGAGCGCAGCCCCTTACTTTGACCTGCTTATCGCCTATAAACTGTGGTTATTACTTCATTGTTACGTGAAATCTCTTAACAGAACCCAGGATTCAGACAAGCTTCTTCGCAGTTGTGACGTGTGTCTTTCGCTTCCTGCGATACCAGTACGCGGTTTTCCCTTAGTTGGACATATGCACAACTGAACATGAAATAGTTTTTCCATCTATCAAAGGGATGATAACTTCGTAAATGCGCTATTGCGAAACCAAACGTCCTAATGCTGGGAATGGTAAAGTCAGACTTTCAAGTCAACGGAAGCCATAATTGAGATTGTGTAGCAATCCAAAACCCATGATGAGTACTCCGAAACCCGATGAATAAGCGGCAGATCCTCTTCGATCACCTTTGTGTTATCCTTGTCTATTACCTTGGGGGTGTCTTCTGAGGTTCATTGTCTATAAGGAATGTATGCTGTCCCAAACCACCCTATAATAAGGCTATGGAGCTGGCTTAAAACTTTGTGCAGCCGACGTTCCCCTAACCGCCTTGGACAATCAGTAGCTAACAATTTCCTCGTTGACTCGTTCCAAGCAGCATTCCCAACCACTTTGCCTGTGAAATTAGATGTTTTGTGAAACACCGGTGAGGTGATTCCGGCAGCATCCACATGCTTTGGATGACTTAAACTGCACCGGATCCCCTCATCTGAACCCGTTAGATTAAGACATATGGTTGCTTTCTGATTTCCTCCAATCCCATGAACTAATAATCCAAGTAATGGTCGTTTACCAATAAGGGATTCTAATCCCATAGCAAAAGATATGTATTATCGCACTATATAGGACTGTGCTTCTCAACGGTTTTTAGGCTGTTAATCGCAAAGCGAGTTCTCTATAAACAATATTATCCCCTAAAATTTTCAGTCTGTAAAGCTACTTCACTATGTACTAGCAAATGGTTTGCTATCAATTAAGGAAAACAAATATTATTCTTTTATCTACCCTTTATCATAAAAATGAAGAACATACCCATGTTTGAACAACTGTTAGGTAATTAATTGGCAATGTATCTTAATGATACGATTGATATTACTTACTTCTAACGATTTCTGCTATCTTAAGTGGGGTATCGGCTAATGCACATCATAAGTAGTGCTCCAAGTTCATTCGCCTCCATGCTTTGGTGTGTGATCCCTTCTCAAACATAAACAGATGAAAATGGCTTCCCCTTTGTTTCAACTATCCCTTCCGAGTTCGTTCTGGTTTACAGGATTTCACCATCGCTCTGTGTCCATACGTACTGGACACTGATCGACCGTTTTGTCCCTTCGACCTTGTAAACATTCGTTCGTTACTTTTCCTGGTAGGCTGGCCTATGCTCCTACCTTGATGTTCATGCAACTGTAATTCGAGCCGGCGCTCGACTGCCTAACTCGAAAGAACAACGATCGACGTGTGAGCCAATAGAAGCGACGTTTAGATGCGTTGCTATGCATGCTTGTATTTGTATTTTAAGTAATAGAATTAAGTAGAGAAAATTGTCTTATTCGCTGAAGACTCACTAATGAGTTGTCTCGGATGGCTAATCAATAGTGCTTGCGTAGCCAGTTACATATTTACTACGGAGGATTTGGTTAACAATTTTGTTTGGCAACGGATTGTTGATATAATCCTCCTATTTATATTCCCCCACTTAACATGCCACTATACCCTTTTGGGGTTGATTAACCCGAGGTTGAGAAACACTGATTTAAAAGCCTCTCCTTCCTACCCAGTTTCAGAAGAGCAAATGTCTCATCGATGTAGAGCCAACAGATGTTGCTGAGTTACTAAAACGGCAAAAAACTGGCCTATCTTCTGTCAACACAGTGGTCGCATTTCACGTTCTCACTTGATTTCGTAAACAAGCGCACAACGCACAGTAAATTGGTATTCATAATTGTGCTGTATCAGTGGATAATGGTTCTCGAAACCTAACAGTAAGGAATTACCCATCAAAAATCGTTTGAATTGCTGCACTGATTTTGCTTCCACGATGTGCTATGGAAAACTGTTCCAGAAACTGGGTGATCGCCTTTCCAAACACGGGAGATGGGGAATTCGCTTCAAATGTGGAACCACAAGCTCGTAATGGTGTCCGCATGTGCCTTAAAGTACTTGCAAGTGAAGCAGTGGCCTCAGCATGGAGACTAACCTAAACTCAGAATACTTTAAGTCAAGTTTAATTCTTCTCACATCCAACGTTAGACTAGGGTGTACACTCCCAGCCTCTCGCCCCTGTCCTCGTACAGTAAGCCCAGTAAATTGAGTATGAGCCTGTTGCTGACATGTTAGATCTGTCCGGTCCGCTGAGCCTTGCCTCCAGTGATAGGGAATTAAGCAGCTGAGTCTCTCCCTAGCATTGCCCTTAATGGTGGAGAATAAGAGGCTAGTGACGAATCCTTCAGATTGATACAAAATGTGCCTGTAATAGCTCACAGCATGCGGACTCTTTTTCTGTGTAGCCCATTTGTTGTTCACGGACTACAAATCTCATCGTGAGAGTACGTTGAGGTCTTTCACAGAAGCTGTTATACGTAGCAGTGGGTCGTTTAGGGTGTAGGTTTGCTCGACACTACGCTTTCCGAGGCTCATGAATTCAGACTTGATTGGGTTGACCTGGAGGCGGACTTATGAAGATCACAAGAAAAGGCAGCTGAGGTCCCGCATATAAACCCCAACATCTTCAGGTGATCCACAAACAGGTCACGCAGCGAACAAAGCGGCCCAGGTAGGTCTTTGTTATAAAAGAGAAACAACGTAGGCCCTAGCACCATGCCTTCTGGTACGCCGCTGGACGAAGGATACCAGGCGGTCAGATAGCTGTCGACTTGTACCCTTCGCGTTCGGACAACGAGAAACTCGCGGATCAACTGGTGTAGTAAGCCGACAACACCGCATGGTCACAGGTTGTGAAGGAGTAGATAGTTCCAAC